AGCATGCTTTTAAAGGTGAGGAGACTACAAGAGAGAAAACATGCTTTTAAAGGTGAGGAGACTACGAGAGAAAGCATGCTTTTAAAGGTGAGACTACAAGAGAGAAAGCATGCTTGTAAAGGTGAGACTACAAGAGAAAAGAATTCGTCTTTTGCCAAGGGAGTTTATTTTGTATGTATGACATGTTACATGCTACAGAAAATAAAGTGAATTTGCCTTCAGAGAATATACTGTTATAGCACAGTGGCACATTTTAAAATCAGTTTGTATCCCCCCCCCCAAAAAAAAAAAATAATAATCCAGCAATGTTACAAAAATATGACACTTTAAAATATGTATATAGGCATGAATGACAAATTTAAACAGATTACATGAGAACCAATATTCTGATGTGAGACAAATGAAATAATTGCATTAACTTGATAAAATCTAGAATGACTCATTTTCCCCAAATGACCTGGAATTTGAATTAAAAAATTCAGAAAATACAAAAATTCAGGCAAAAAAAATAAAATAAAATACAAAAAGTATTTTTAGTAAAGTCTGTTCAGATCAAAGGAAAGGACAAGAAACTTTGGTGTGTGAAGCATCTGTATGCTGGAGCAAGTTATTAACCTGGGGCAGTAACCATGGGGATGACACTGGCTTCCTTTGAAGCCCTACAAGGGATGTGACGCTACAGGCAGAAATGCATCTTCCATAAGGGCATCGGTATGTCAGGCTTATTTATTTTGGCGAGCAGGTACATGCTATACAGATTTTAGGTCAGGGTTAGGTTCAGGCTACTCCAGTTCATTAGTGTATCCAAAAACCTCCACCAAAATAACTCACTTTCAAATGCATTAAGTTCATCCATCAGGTAAATGAAGAGGCACCTGAACTTTACTGATACTTAATTAATGCATTTTCTTAATACAGATTTTAGCAGTGATCTTTTTAATAATAAGCACAAATACATAGATGTGATGAGTTGTATCTCATACCTCAAGGGTGCAAATATAAACCTAAGAAAATAAAACATAACACTGGTTACCTGCCTTTCTGGAGTCTCTGGATTACCATAGCAACAATGAAGAGAACAACGCATGCATTTCGCTTCCATGTCATTTACCCATAGCGCTCACTTAATGACTAGATATTGGTGCAGGTTCTTTCCCTTTGAGCACAGTTGTGCTCACTGTTGTGGACAATTTCAATTAAAAAGTTTTACGCTAACTCCTGCCCTCTCCAAGCTTACTAAGCTACATTACTCCTAAGATAACCTAAACTTCTTACAACTGCTACTACTAGACAGGGGAACCCAGTATCAACAGTGCAGGGTCATGTGTGCTTTTCACAGTGTCAGTGAGTGGTGCACTGTGGGTAGTGCATTACGAGGGAGATGAAGGGCACTGTTGCAACCCCTACTCACAGAAACACATTTCCACGTTCTGACACACAGGGTGGTGGATCGTATCTGAAACCGGATGCTGGTTTTTGGAGAATGTCTGCTGTGAAAGCAGGCCAAACAGAGCCTAAGAACACAGTGTAGTACCGGCAGAGGTCTACTGCTGTCCAGCATGCCGGGCATGATTGTCATGTGACCCATGTCATAAGAATATAAAATTCATCAAAATCAGATGCTGTTTTCACAAGTCCCTAAAACTCTCCAATCACAGGTATCTATATGACTGCTAGTGTGTTCATGACAGCTAATAAATACTATTAGTGTTTAACCCTTTACATGAGTATATACAGCACTTTATAGATTTCATTAAAAAAAAAAAGAAATTCTCTGTGGCTGAAGCAGTAGGGAGACGCCTAGTGGGAGGTCAACTGGATTAAAGAGACACTAAAATCTGCAAAATCACAAGCCCCAGAACCATGGTTTATTTAGCCCCCAGTGCCTGAAACCCCTATACCTTTAAAAATGTGGCTGGAGAGTGACTGCATTAGGCAATGAGCTGCAGCTCCATCTGTGACTTACTAAGAGTCCCGGCCGACGGGGAACGGATGCCGGCTAATCTCCATACAGGCAGAAAGGGGGGTGGTGACAGAGGCACGTTCATAAGAGCAAACAGACACCTGTTATCAGAGGCTAATTAGTGGAATTCTTAGCTACTTGGTTTAGGGTTCCTAGAAATACAGAACAGGAGGTAAAAACCAGACAAATACTGCCCATAGACTGAACCTATATCTATTATCTCAAAAGCCATATATCTCCAGGCCGGGAGGGGGAGGGGCTGAGAAAGAAAATAGCAGAACAGTTCAAATTACACCTATTCCAGACTGCCTGTTACTTCTTCGGTGTCATGCTCCCACTGAAGTGCATAGGGCCCCAAACCATGCATTTCCCCCAAATGTCCTCCAGACAGTGAAGGGCACCCTCATCTGCCCCCTTGTCTTCTTTATGCTCGTCATACCTGTTTGCTCCCTCATGTATCTGCATTAATGTACAGGTCTATCTCATACTTCCAGAATACACACACCCAAGCATGTAATAGTATACAGCTACATATACTTGTAATACAGTTTTCTTTCATTTTATTACAAAAAAAACATTTAACCTTGCTTCATGACTTGTAGTGTGGATTACAGCTCAAAAAAACATCCCTCTGTGCCACTGTAGTCAAAAGAGCGGACACCAACAAAGATGGGACATCTGAGGCGCATCGTTGACAGCGTGCTTCCAGGTCAGGTGAAACAATGGTCCTTTCCTCCTCTCTCTATTAAAGTCTGAGTTAGACATTGGCAATGCAGGAAAAAAAATGGTCCTTTAGTTCATAAGAGCGTATATGAGTGAGTGTGTGTTGGAGTATCTAGATCGATGTAGGACACCAAAGCCTAATAATACCAGAAAATAGCATGAGGCAAATCCAATTACACATCTTATTCAGCAAAGGCATGGAGGAAGAGGGATAGTGGCACATTGGACCATTATAAAGATGCAAAAATTGTGGAGGTGGACCACTAGGCCTAGAATAGATAAAGCGGAGATCAGAGGTTTGAGGTGCAACCCTGTGTGCTCACACATGCGTGTGTATGTATGTAGAACAGTATGCATATGAATGAGAGAGCGGAGTCAGGCACAGATGCCCTCAGCTGAAGTCGTCCTCGGAGTTGTGCTGGTCAAGCAGCCGCACGTGCGTGAAAGGGAAGTGACCCCTCTTACCCTTGCACTCACCCTCCCACTGGCCGTTGACATTGATCTTGGTCACCGTCACCATGTCACCCACCTGCAAGAGCAGCACAAGTTCGTGAGAATCCACCCTTTCGTACTTGCGGGATTTGAGGAAAATGCATTCCTCACCTGCACCAGCTTCAGACAAAGTAGTCCGTGTTAAATAGTAAAAAAATCATTCCTTTCTAAACTACCACTACATTTCTCATTCAACAGGAAAGGCAGTTGGAAGATTTTTGATGTTATTACTCAAAATTTACAAAGCTAAAACTTTCATTTTTACCTTTCTATTAATTAAACAACCAGATTATCAGATATGCCACTGATTTGTGTTAATAAATCATAAGAACTGAAATACATTTTTTCTGATTGCTTATATCAGTGTGAATACTTTTTTATTGCACTGTGTGCTGAGTGTGTGTGGACATACACCCCCAGCACAGTGCTCTGGAGTACCAAGAGCCACACAGATGTAAAAACTATCAGTTGGACAGCTGCTGAAGCACATGCTTCTTAGCTTCTGCAGATCCTTAAATCCTCATTATGTGCTGTGGTTTGAGCCATTACTGACCTTAAACTCACACCCAGTGTGCAAATTCTATATTACATCAAAAACCAACCCTATCCACAAGGTGGCACCATAATACAAAATGGATATAGGCACCTGCTCACCTTGCCTTTCCTTGTTCTTAGAAATGTACAAATGTAGAAATGTTCATAGAAATTCACAGCATCCACTATATGGTTAACAAGAGACCTCAGTTACACAAAACGAATACTTGATCTGGTGTAATTTTAATACACAGTGCAAATATGTTTAAACTGTTGGAACAAGCAGCTAAGAAACATTAATCCAGGTGTGACCTACAGCAACTTCAATGCTTCTAATTAAGCAGCACATTCTGAAGAGAGCAGGAAAGGACTGTCCTGCTCATGGGAGATGGGGGATGTGGAAGGTCAAAGGTCAAAATCCTGAGCACAAGGACACACTTCTACACAAAGCATTTCCTGTCCGAGTCCACCTCCATTGCAAATCTGCCTCAGCGGGCCCCCCCCCCCACCTTGTCTTTTGTCTTTGATTTACAAGTAGGAAAGAGGGTGTGGTGAGGACTGCCAAGCCCAAGCCCTGGGGCATCTGAGCCAGCGCGGTGCCTGTGGCCCTCGTTACTTTCAGAGGGACGCAGAGCCTCCCAGTTCAGGCTGCCCCATCACAGCTCAGCTGGCTCATGCTGCAGTGAGAAGCTGATTTCACCATTTCAGGCCGCATGTGTGAGACACACCTTGACATTTTTATTATTCATTATTGATGCGAGAATAAAAAGCATAAAAATAGCACAAACTTCTGCTCAGCAGACTGTTGGGTTACTGATGATTTGTTATTTTCTAGATGAGAGCATGAAAGTGCGGGGGGGGGGGGGTACAACTCATTTCTGTAGGATACTGCAACAGTGGGAAAACACAGTAGGTTGTACTATGGAACTTAAGCAAGGTTAGATTAATACTTAAAAATACTGGATTATTTTATTTTATTTTTTTTAAATAACGATGTAAATTTTTTGCAATGAGCTGAAAATGTACCCAGAATAGCTAAACAGAACCTAACAATCTGTCATGTCAGGACAGCCTCCCAGGATAAAATGTGCAGTTTGGAGAAATTCTATTGGCGTGGAGCCTCCAGAACAGCCTTGTTTTGGAAAATACCACAGTATCTGGACCGTGTGCCAGTGTGAAATATTACATACTGCCCAAGCCCTACCCCAACCCAGGTATCGCAGTCCGTGCCATCTGACAACTGCACGAGCGTAACATGCAGTGTGGATATTAACACTGCACATTGCGTAGGCGTAGCTAGAACCAGTAATCCCTTGGAAAATAAGAGTCTCATACCCGTCAGAGACAGAGTGAAAGAAGGGACCATTGCACCAACTACACCCCCACAGAGGTAAGCAGAGAGACAGGTCACACCCCCATGCCATCTTATTTTTACTATGTTATAAAGGTACCTTAATTAACTATTTTGGAGCTAATTTATAACTTCCCAAGTATAGGTAAAGTAGAAAGAAATTAAGGCAAAATTTCCGAACCAGAAACAGGTCAGCTACTGGCATCAACAACTGTCCAGCTGGTTCTGTCAGAGAGACATTCAGAAAGCTGTTCAGAACGGACAGGCAGAGACCGGGAGTGGAAGAAAACAGAAGACTGCTACCTCCAGGGCCAGGGCGGTCTTGTCATAGGCATTGGGCACCCTCTTCTGGACAACTCGGGCATAGACGGGGCCATTCTGCAGGTTGGGCAATGGTGTGTTAAGGCTAGGCTGAGCATAGGGGCCTGGTTCTCCCAGGACTGAGGGTTGAGCACGGATGCCATCAGCATTCCCTGCCGATGTAACTCCTCCAGGCCCTGTGGTGGCAGCGTTGTTTGGGGAGGACGGCCTGTACTTTTCCACATAGGGCACGGGGATCATGCCGGTGCGACCCTCCGAGTTCTGAGCATTCCACCACTGCTCCTCCGGCTTCTCCAGAACCCGCAGCACATCACCCTTGCGAAACGGCAGATCCTCATCATCGTTGCCAGGGAAGTCGAAGAGGGCGCGCACGTACTCTGGTTCATCCAGGCGCTGGGGGGCGCCCCCCACATTGGCACTGGCCAGGCCCGGGTGCTTGGCCTTGCTGATGGGCTCGATTAGCGTGGTGGTGTCTAAGTAGTGGATTTTGTAGAACTCCAGCAGTGCCGGAAGGGTGTCGAATTCCTGGTCCCCGATGCGAAAACGAGGAGCAATATGCCCTGTGGGGGTGGGAGAGACAGGTAACGCCTGACAGGAGCTGGTCTAAGGACATGGAAACCTTTAGAACCTGAATTCAAAACATGAAGGAAATTACACGAGGAAAAACTGTTACATAGAAAATTGCTGTGAATGAAGTACTAATTGGGTGTGGTGTGGTATGGTACACCACAGCTGCCAAAGCTAGGCCACAGTAATGAAATTACTAACACACTGAGGAGGGCAGCTGGTATAAGAAAAGCACTATGTTAGAGGCTAGATTCTCTTTTCAATGGGTTGCATATAATCATCAGCTGGCAGCATACTGCACTGGGTACTGCATAGGGAATTCAATGTTCCCCATAGACATATTGCATTATTTCTCTCAGCTTAACTCACCGAGGTGATCAACATATGACAAACACAGTGACTTCAGCTGACATGTCCACTCACACCCCGCAGGCTGTATTTGGAAACAGCTTAAAACTTAGACTTCCTTACTGCTTCGAAGAACACTGATACGCGTCAAAAGGAGACAAATGACTGTTTTTGGTGTGATGAAATACCAAGACCACAAAGCGTAAATTACTGCGTAAGTGACCAAGCCGAGACCAGAGAAGGACGCGCCTCAGGGTGTGCTGGTTTCGTGCCGGAACGGCTCCTCAGTCATCCGTACACGCCTGTTTGCTCCTCACCAAATGGCGAGACATCCCGCTTAAACTTTATCAGAAGCGATGTGGAGACCTAGTGAGCAAAGGCTGAAGCCAAACGCAGTTGCACAACAGGACACAACAAGGGGCCTGGTTTGCCCACAGAAACAGGTATTTCCGATGGCTAAAGTAGACCTTTGGACCACTTACGCGACTGGTGTTTTACCGAGGAAATCAATAAAAGTATCCAAATAAAGTCATCCCGGCAGAATATCCCCGGATTAATCACAAACATGGAGGTAGCAGTTTATGAGAATCACGGCAGGAAAGTTCAAGGCGGCTCACCCCGCCCCCTTTCTGATCAACAGCCGCTGTCCGCTTTATCGCCCATCTTCGGCCTTATGAAACTAGATCAGTCCCGTCTTAAAAACATGCATCATGTCTTTATGATAATGGAAAGATCACAGCCGGCAGGGACAGTAACCCCTAACCGGGGGTCAGCCCGAAGATCTGCCGGGGGGGAGCTGGCGGGAGAAATAACGTTCAGTCGCCGAAAGACCGACGGGGACTACCGCGACCAGGCGGATCCACATCAGAGCCGCCACATTGGCAGATAACGCGCCGTCCATTACAAACAACAGCCACGTAAATACGCTTTCAGACTGTTAGCGGACAGGCATTCTGTCTACCCACAGCGAGGGACAAACGAACTACTGGTTACAAAGAAAGTTTATTCAGATATGTTGTTAATTTCGTGTAAAACCACTCAGCTAGTAAGTTACTGCAGATACACTCATTACCGGGTGGTGTAGCCGTTAAGTTGCACCATGAGCTCGGCCGTTTCTCGCTCACCTGTACCGGACTGCCGGCTGTTGCTGATGCTGTTTATGATATAATGTGACACCTTGGAGTTCTCCGACACAGACAGCACGTAGTCGCCGGGGATGGTAATGGAGTCCCTGACCAGAAACACGCCGTGCCTCTGGCCGTGCAGCAGGTTTACCGCCTCCTGTCGGCTCAGCCGGCCCCAGTACCAGCTCTCACGGTCCTCGGCGTCAAAATTGCCGGCCATTGCTGACACCCCAAGCGCCCCTTCGCCTCTTCGGCTGCGCGACCAGTATTCAACTCATACAAAAAACTTTCGCCCCTGCCTGGGAACACGTTAAGAAAATCCACGACACCCGCGTAAGCCTTCTATATATTTTTGGCCCGGCCAAAGAAAAGAAAAGACCGAGCACAATCAAGGGCTGCTCCTCTTTGGCGACACGGGATATCGGCACCTCGACGGTCTTACAGGCTCAGTGATTGTTTCGCTGTAATTCTGAATCAAATCTCTGAACTTGTAGCAACTAACTTCAAAAAACTGAAATGGCGAACCTGAGAGGAAAATTGACCTCATCAACCGGATGTGATGTTTTTTGAGAATTTTTTTCTTGGGATGTGGCTGGGGCGGAGGGGTGTTGTGGCAATCCGGAAGTATATCATTCTGGGAGGCATGGGTAGCCATGTTGATGAGGTCGCTAATTGGCTCATATTGATGGGAAGACGTTCCTAATCTTATTAGACTGACCAATAAATTCGTGTTTAATCTAAATGTATTTGACACTGACAGTCATACTATTCTTGTTATATGCGTATACTTAATATTATAGAATAAATGTTAACACACATCAAATTCCATCTAAATCTTAAAAAATAAAAACTGTCGGTGAAAGTTTTCATCAGCTGAGTCAGATCGATACCGAAGCACGATATTCCGCATTTTACATTGATTTATACCGCTCACAAAGTACAAATACCCACATCATGTTGGTGTATTATTAGATTCTGTACATAAACTATTAAACTGTATAAGTAAATTGATTATTTGCAACAACCCACCTTCACATCATTATTATCCCACTCCCAACCGCTTACCCAGTACAGGGTCGCGCGGCTCTGGAGCCCATCCCAGGAAGCACAGGGCACCCTGGACGGGATGCCACTCCATCGCAATTTCACGGATACAACCACACACGTTCCGCTCCAAATGGACTGCTGGATGGACAACCATACACCATGGGCAATTTAGAAACCCCTAATTATACTCACTGCATCTATTTAGACTGCGAGAGGAAATCGAAGTGTCCGGAGGAAACCCACACGACACAGAAAAAGCATGCAAACTCCACGTAAATACATGCACACACGCAAAGTGGAATCATCTATCAACCCCAACCAGAGAGTTATCGCAGTGTCGCCCATTTCTATATACAATTTGCGATAAATTAATGTTATGTGTAAAATACCACCAGGTGGCAGTAAAATGTAGACTACCAGAGTAACAGCGCGTAATTCTCATCCACTCATCCACTCGTTCGTCCATCATCTAACTACTTATCCTGGTCAGCCTCGCGCTCTATGGCGGTGGGATGGGGTGTCTGGAGTCTGGTCTGGGCCGAATGGTGTAGGCTGAGGGGGTGAGGAAAACAACAGAATTCCAGTCTTATTTAACAACAATTTTATTTTAATAATAACAATAAAACAATTTTCGCCATTGCCTGGGAACACATTCAGAAAATCTACGACACCTGCGCAAGAATTTATATATATTTGGCCCTTTTAATACATCAACATGATAATTTTATTTACATCCATCCATTATATACATAATACAATTTATATACATTATAAATTGTACATATATATACAAACAGCATAAATACATATAGATGTCGGGGTATATAGAACTATATATATTCAATGACACCTGCATAACACAGCACATATTCCCCGTGATTTGGTCTACATGTGATTTGGTCTACATGTGATTTGGTCTACATGTGATTTGGTTGTGTGTACAACTAAGTGAAATAATGCAGTGTGCAGTGACTGTGCTGACGGTGACCAGGATAATTGACTGAAAGATGAATGGAAGTTTGGATGGATGGATGGATGGACAAATGTATGTCCTATTTTCTATCAAAAGCTTTCAGATGTTTTAAGTACAAAGTAATCTAATTTCAAATGCTACATGTGAAAAAAAATCTTTTGCAAACTTTAGCATCTTTCAGCAGATAGTACACAGTATACAGATTTAAACATCCTACAAATATCATTTACAATTCCAAGAAGGAGTCCTGACGACAGAGCTGAAATGTGAGCTGAAAATGCCCAATTAGGAAAGGCGGAGAGACAGAGAGCGATGCTTGAAGGGTAAGGACACCTGTAGGTGGAGGTTTTCAGTCTGGCGTCTGTACATAGCGGCCCAAATGAGACCTGCCAGTACACTCTCCCTACATACCGAGGAGGCGTAAATCGGGACAGGTAGTCTCCGGCAACTTCGTTTCACTTTTAAAAGTCATCGACAGAGGAACTGCAGCTTTCAGGTGCACCAGCTAGACCCACCTTCATGAAAAACCATCCACTCATTATCCCAGGTGGAGAAAAAAATCTTCCCTTGTTTCCACAGCGACAGTCTCTCTCGGTAACAGCTTCCCTCTTCTGGCATCTTCCCTGACCCTGACAAAATGGATGCCTCCCTTGACGTACGATTTGCGTAGTGCCGGTTCCCTGCCTACCATCATGAAAATCTATTACTAACTGATCTGTGGAATTGTAATTAACCGGATAAGCTTACAGGAAGCATGAATGTCACCAAAGAGCAAGGATTAATGATTTTGCTCAGATGCTAAGTGAAGATTACAAAGCCATGTGAAATGAGAGCCAGTTAATTGATACTCGATACTGATTTAATGGGCTTGCCTCAGTTTTGGTATCACCTGCACAGTACTGGTGGCTCTACTCCCTCTATCCGGCATGTGACTGGAGGGTGGGGCCTCTGTGACCTTTGACCCAGGAACATGAGCTTCAGTTTTTAAGAGGGAAAACGGATGACTGAAGACAGGCTGAGATTCTGAAGGCTTGGTTTCTTGAAACAAATTTACAGCAGTATTTCTATAATCTTTATTTTGATCTCAACGCTTGACATCCATTGGCCCACTTTAGCAGGTATAGGGCAAATGGATGAATGATGTGCTTCAAAGGTCTAACCAGGCAGGTGTTTAACCAGCTCAATATTCTCTGATTGTCCCTTTAAAGCAAACTCTGGCCTCATGCTGGTGCTGAATTAACAAACCTACTGCAAGTTGAATAAAACATTAAATAAAATTTTAAAAAGTGAACCTCCAGTCACGTGTCTTTTAGCGAAAGAGGGAATGAAATAAAATTGGTAGATTATTTTATTTGCTTATCATGGCTAATCATGCATTTCCATTAGTTATCTTTTGCAAAACACTGATTCTGGGGGAAATAAAAGTTTTTTCATGATGAGCCCGAATAGGAATTATACAAACATCACATATAAAAATCCATAAATTACTGTCAGGCATATTGCAAATTGCTTGTAAAGATGCACTATATTAACAGCAAGTCTAATGCAATTTATGATTCCATCTCATTTTAATGATTTTTTTAAAATAGCATAACAGCAAGAAATTTGTTTTCTGAATTACCAGCAGAGCTTTATTGTTACATGAATTTCCTACACGCAGCACATTCCCTGCAGCAGACTGGAAAACACCACAGTATACAGCGCAGAGAGCGAAACAAGGCCTGAATTAAACCTGGGATTCTCACACTTCTGTTTCTTTGCATAAGTCACATGTTTGTTGTTTGATATTTCATCCTATTCACAAAACATATTTATGCACATTATTCAGATAACATATTTTTCCTGTTGGAGGAAGTAGCTGGACGAAAACTGTTCTCAGCAAGCAGAACCAGGTCAGCATGTGGATGGCCCAGTCCATACGCCTGGCCGGGCTCCTCTCTGATTGTCTTTTTCCCCCGAACACCTCTTTATCATTATTTACTTCTTCTTTTCTCTCTCTTCTTTTTCATGCTCAGCTGGCAGGAGACCCATGGGGATTGGCTGCTCCCTGCACCAGTGGGGACACCGGGGGTTCGAGAAGCCAAGGTGGGGGAAGATTTTGAGCTGATTTTCTGAATTACTTTCATACAACGGCATATTCAAGGCTGATGGGCCTGTAAGAGCAGATAGGGATGTCTGGGATCAGGGGTGCGAGCTGAAGTGGACAGACAGGCACAGTGGTGGGCGGGGCCAGAACTGCATTCCTGTTAAGATGTGAGGCAGATGGCCTGCAAGGAGCCCTTAAAAGGGACAGGATGTAAAGGCATTTATCAAAAACATCAAAGAAAAGCATGTTTGCTAAGCAATGATTGGCTTATGCACCAGAGAACACACACAGTTAAAATGATATCATCTAATACACATATCATCTGCATTAATAATGCATTAAATAGCTAAACAAACAAACAAACAAAAAAAAGAGAAAAGAGTGAAATCTGCAATGGACACCTGTATAACTCTCACCAATTTAGAAATCATCATGGATCTCTACAAACGTGGATAGAATACAGCCTTAAGACAATAAAACATAAATTATCTTATCAAAAAATACTTAGTGTACTATAAAATATTTTGAAAAACAATCAAATGTTACTGGATACATGTAATGTCTAATATATAAATTACCTGCCAAATTATTTTTCAGATTTTGTGATTCATATCTGAACAAATAGAGCTGCTCTAAGATGGAGAAAAAAACAAATCACCATGATATCCTTCCCCATTCGCCTCCCCAGCACAAACCTCCAGATCAATGCCCTGTATAGTGTGATGATGTCACTTCCTGATCCTCTGGCTCCGCCCCTGCCGCCTCCTCCCCCCGGCACTTTGGCACATTCTCGTGCCGCTCGGTGTCATGGCTGACACACGCCCACAATGAGAGCTGTGTCGCACTACGGCTGCAGGGCTCCTCCCACCCACCGAAAGTGTCCGGCACACACAGCAGGAATGCGCTGAAGATCTAGGCCATGCGACGGCCCCTCGCAGGACATGCACGGCTGCAGATGGAAGAGAGCAGCTCCTCCACTTGTTAACTGACATATGAGACGTTTCTTAGTATATATTACACAAGTGTCAGGTTGAAATAATGCTACAGACAGTAATAATGATCGTAAGCAGATCTTGTCTGATGTCCTCTCATCATCTCCTCCGGACGTCACTCGGAGATGACGGAAAAGTCTCCTTTCTCTTTCTCTTTGGTTTCCTTTTCATGCGTTTCTGACAGAGCACTGGAGGGACAAAAAACAAGAACAAGAACTATTCTCCGCAGCATTTTCATGTTTGGTTGCTGCTATGGCCAATCAGCTGGTTCTCCACCTCTGCTTTCATTAGCTCAGCAGGTTCAAAAGACTGCTGCGATTGGCTGGAGCAGGAAAGCCGAGACGAGAAGCTCTGGCTGTCTTCTTCTGCTTCGGCTTTGGTTGCTCTCTGTATGCCCCTCCTCTGCCACTTGGAGGACTCCCCCCGCCTCTCCAACATCCACATGCTGTCCTCCATCTCGTCCTCCATCTCATCCTCCCCTCCTTGCACCTCCCGGTCGAAATCCAGCAGTTCCTCCAGCATCTCCTCTATCTCCGTCTCGCCGCCCATCTCACCCTCCACCTCAGAGCGGAGCTCTCCTGTGCTCTCTGTCCTGGTGGTGTCGTCTCCCTCCTGGTCCCCGTCGGCCCGGCTCTCAGGCTCGCTAGCCTGGCTCTCCCCAAACTCCAGGATAGTGGGCAGGTTGCCCTGCTTGGGGCAGCGCTTGCGAAGGCTCACCAGGAAGGGCTGCGGCAGGCAGAAGATGTCCACGTTGTTGCCCAGGTCGATCCAGGTGACACTGGGGAAGCTGCCCGGGTCTTTGAGGGCGTCGGTGAGCTCACGCAGCACGGCGCGTGTCAGCCGGTTGCCGTTGAGCGCCAGCGTCTCCAGGCGTGGCAGGGCTGCCAGGCCGGGCAGCAGGAGCAGGAAGGCGTCGTCCGTGAGCTCGGTGAAACCCAGCTCCAAGCTGCGCAGCCGAGCCGCGTGCCGTTGCAGATAGGCGCAAAGCCTCTCCATGTCCCGCGCAGTGAGGGGGATCCCTGACAGATCCAGGGTGTCACCAGCAGGGGGCACTGACAGCACCGCCTTCAGGCTGGGCGGAGACAGGGAAAGGGCTCTCAGACGTGTCATTTCTGCAGTCAAAGCCTAACCAATAACCAGAGGCGCTGCTTCCCTAATTTGCCTGAAAGGGAGTCATATACCTGTCAGTAAGTGAAGTGGAGCAAGCGTCCAGGAAATGGGTAATACACAGTCAGGACGTAAATACACAGTGAGGGGGAACAGAATGAAGGTGGGGGAGACAAAATGCAGCAGTTAGACGCAGAGACTGAGGCTTTTTATGTTTTGATATGCCGGAAGGAGGACGATGGACTGTCACGACAGAAACAGGCCTGACTCGCAGATTCGTGCAAAGCTCCAGTTGGAGAGACCCAAACTGCTTTCCGCTTTGCTCCACTGATGCTCCTTCCAGAGGCTGCCTTCCCCACACGCCCCCCCCCCCCCCCCCCCCCCCCCCCCACCACAAAGTTCCAAAACTGATTTCAGCATTTCTGCTGTCTGTGATTCAGACTGTCTGTGATTCATTTTATTACTATTAAATAATGTGTCAATATTCAAGATGGAAAGTGTCCAGACTGTGGCAGCAGTGTGAATTACTGTAACGGCTCCATTCTCCTGACTGTCCCACCTAAACCAGTATCCTGGCACAATGAAGCAGGAAATACATTTTAAGAGGAGACCAAATGGAATGTGACACAGTCACCATTCATTCTGGCTGCTGAATCAGATTACACTCAGTTCCAGGGCCAGCACACTCCGGCTGCGCTGACACCTTCCGTCCAAACACCCCCACACTTCACAGACTCCCTCTGTAAAAACACAGTCACACTGCACATACTCTCTCCATCCAAACACCCCCACACTTCACAGATTCCCTCTGTCAAAACACAGTCACACTGCACATACTCTCTCCATCCAAACACACCCACACTGTGCAGACCCTCCTCCATCCAAACACACCTACACTGCGCAGACCCCCTCTGTGCAAACACACCATGACGGCGCAGATCCCCTCCGTCCAAAAACACCTACACTGTACAGACCTCCTCCGTCCAAACACACCCCAACTGTGCAGACCCTCTCCATCCATACAAATCTATAGTGCATAGACTCCTTCCATCCAAACACACCCACACAGTGCAGACCCCCTCCGTCCAAACACACCTACACTGCGCAGATCCCCTCCGTCCAAACACACAGTGACTGTGCAGACCACCTCCATCCAAACACACCCCAACTGTACAGACCCCCTCCATCCAAACACACATACAGTGTGCAGACTCCTTCTGTCCAAAAACACACACACTGTGCAGACCCCCTCCATACAAACACACACATACAGTGTGCAGACCCCCTCTGTCCAAACACACCAACAGTGCGCAGATCCCCTCTGTCCAAACATATTCACACTGCACAGACCCCTTCTGTCCAAACAAACCGACACTGCGCAGACTACCTCCATCCAAACACACCCACACTGCACCAAGGCCCAATATAATATATGTTCACTGCGCTCTCCAGCCATGATCCTGCAGCTTCTGAGAGCCTGGCCAGCACAAACACTGTACTTTTACAGGCTGTGACAAGAAGGGCCAGATGTTAAAAATGGAAGTTACATACACACTGGTAATTCTCCCCAGACAAAACCAGGGATGTTGTACAGATTAAAAAAGTAGACAGTTAAAGAGGTGGATCCTGAATGTATCTGTGAGGCGGGGGGGGGGGGGGGCTCCATAAATCCCACAGCAACAGTGAGCTGGTGCTGTTGATCACAGCAGCACCCCAGCAAGTTCTGGTGCTGATCCTCCTCTCATGTGATGACTCACTGGCATGTGAGCTCTGTCTCTTCAGTTTTCTTTTTTAGACACTGGGCCTCACTTTGGTTATGTCACTAGAATAAAATCAGAAGAAGTCGCTAATTTCTGGATCTGCATGTTTAAGACGAAGCAGCGGGAGATTCAGTCGTGTGTTGGCTTTGAATTTGGGGAGGAACATGATGTGCTCTGGCATTACAGCCCTCAGCACCCCTGTCACTGGCATTACAGCCCTCAGCACCCCTGTCACTGATGTTACAGCCCTCAGCACCCCTGTCACTGGCATTACAGCCCTCAGCACCCCTGTCACGTGCTCTGTCACTGATGTTACAGCCCTCAGCACCCCTGTCACTGGCATTACAGCCCTCAGCACCCCTGTCACGTGCTCTACAGCCCTCAGCACCCCTGTCACTGGCATTACAGCCCTCAGCACCCCT